ACAAATAGATAAATATTAAAAATAATTTATAGTTTTTGTCTTAAGAAAATTACAAATTTTGTTTATAATTTTTGCTGGTCAAAAATGGGAAAATAAATTTCAAATAATGTTTATCATTATGTAAGGTATTTTTTAAGGTAAGGAATTGTGAAATGCCCCATGTGACATCGACGTCAGCACCTTGTCATATTACTACGTACGCCTGCACGCCTCTAGTCATCGGCAAATCTGCCAATTTGGATTCGAATATGAGCTCAGATAGCTACTCATATGAACTCTATGTGGCACCTCAAGTCCCCGTGACTAGCATATAACCTCTTTCTACTCTACTGAATTTCGTGTGGGTTAATGGGACGGCGATACCGTAGTGCGAAGATGCAAAAGTTTACGACTCTGTATATGATGCAACCTTTTGCAAAGGATACCATGACACTAAAATCCTGGAGGATTTAAAATTTTCAGACAGACAAAAATAGTACTCGGAATTTCTCAAAACATAAATTCAGGAAATGATGCGACCTCAGTTGGTGACTTGACTTAAACGACTGTATGCGATAGTAATATTGAATGTATCAGGTCGATCAAATTACTAATTTTTATTTTACTCTATTTTGTTCATCCTCGCAGAAATGGCCAGCTAGGGTGATGAACTGAAATGCATTTCGATCAAAGCACTCTGCAATAGAGGAGTTCTGTGCTCCCTCGGGCTTATATGTAACTCCCATATTACCAAATATGCGCCCTTCCAGATATCTAGCCTTGCTTGGATAATTTTCTTGGTATTGCCTGAAGTGTATTTTCTGATATATTGGAACGCCTGCTTAATAGAATCAAAGATTGCCAGCCGTCATGTTCATGGACAGCATTAGATAGTGTAATTAAGGTCGATCGCATCAGTAAGCTTCGTTATGAGGCAATGCGTGAACACAGTCTAGCCGTAGCAGTCGGATTGAACTAATACCAATGCCTATGATGCATATGGATCAATTAGATTTCTTGCTTTTCTTTTTGTATCGCTTAGCAAAATAGTGCAGAAACTGGCCATGCGTAGAACAGCTCTTGGTGAACGTTGCAGATGGAACGACTGCATTCCACGTACGACCAGCTGGCAGGCTTGGAGATTCCAGATCCCATACCGAATGACCTTCTTGGAAATTAACTCGTTATTTGACGGCTATTTAAAACGAAAACCGAGGCTTTTCCAGCGGTTCTACACTATGGAACCATATCCACCTGTGACTCTGTGAGCATCTGGGTGTATTGGCTTGAAATTATTTTATTTCCAAGTGGAAAAGACTTGAGTGGTACTCCTTTATGTCAATGCTACGGAATCTAATAGTAAGAAGCTACAAGGACCAGCTGGCGTTTGCAAGGTGAGCAAGTATTTGAGTGCTGGCGGAGCAAAGCGAGCGGAGCTGTGTGTTCGATAACGTGCGGGTCCACGTACTCGTAGGGAAGTGGAAGAGGGTTAATTTCGATATATTAGCTATTTCGTGTCAGGTACTGGTATAATGCTAATAGCTTCTGGAGTTCTGGCGGTGTTCTGCTGTCACAGCGTCAGCAAACGGAGACCACCATCATCGGCACGCTGCATTTGGCGGCCCGCCAAGAACATCGACGCGCTCACGTGGCTGTCACGGCGTCCTGTTTTTGCTTCCGCTCTTAGCGTCAAACGCCTCGTTCACGGCCCCTCTCCCGTCCTCCGACTCTGGCGGCTTCAAGGCGGCTTGTACGTCTCCTCATTTCCGTCTTGATCTTTGATTGTCCAGGAACTGACACAGCTTATGCACATGTAGGTTGGCGGAAGGACACCTTTCGGAGGATCATTGTAGGATGCGATCAGCCTGCAGAGACAGGGAATTGTGAAATACCTGTTATTAGAAGTCCTCTCTTTTTTTATCTCGACCGCCTTGAGCACCACCTGACATACGGATTTAGCATCCCGTTGGCCGTCAAGAGTCCGTCTGCCGCGTGCAAATCGGCTGAAGTTGTCTTAATTTTATTACAAGGATGCACATGTGATAAGATCCCAATGGAACTTCCAATCTAACAGCTCAAACGAATGCCGCAAATTCAAATATGTCGTATTGCGCGTGCAGTTACTATTGGATTCTGACACGGAACCACCGATCTTGACCTGCTAGTCCAGACTGAAACTTAATTTAAAGCGGCACAGTCTCTCCCTTTTCCTGCCACTCTTTCCTCCCCGTCCTGGACTACAGCTTTACACCGGACCATGCCTGCACTTTCAAGGACGTTATATTCATTGACTTTCGCGCTGATTTCCGGCGTTCTATCTCCAATTCTTGCGTCATCGGGTTTGCCCAACAAGGTCTATGGTGTAAATCTTGGTACGTGGCACAAACGATTTGCTATAGAGACCCTTTCTAACTCATCACCCAGGCTCATGGCTCGTACTTGAGGTATGTGTCTAACAGATAACCGACGCAATACCCGGAACTCAGACTTGGTAGTCATGGATGCTCCCCGCCGAATGGCTGGCAATGGGTGGCGAATCATGCAGTGATTGCTCGACGTGCATAGCATCGGAATTGTGTGTTCTCTAATTGTAACACGTGCAAGCCGTTCTTGACCTATCGCAATTCGCAACAGTGCGTTTGCACAGGCGTATCCCCACACCGTCGACGCGATTTTCAATAAGCACTGGTAGTGTGATTCCCTTCGTTTTATGTACTGTATGCCGAATGACGTGTTATGACTAGGTCTACCTGGTTTACGCAAGACGATGTCAATAAGCTTGCTTCGCTCGGTATAAATACAGTTCGCATCCCGGTACGTGACTTTATCCATCAGTTTCTTCTGCACGTGACGAAAAGATCGCACATATGCCATTGTTTAGCTTGGCTATTGGATTATTGAACCGCTTGTGGACCGTGTCACTGAATTCTATCCCCGTGGAGGCATTAAACAGCTCGTCAGTGGTTCTCTTATATGACACGGCAACGTTGGACTCACCTTGTGGCAGAAACGCGGTTTAAAACAGTTGAAGGCTGCCGGAATACGAGCAATTTTAGATCATCACGCCCTTCCCGGCGTTCAAACTCCTAATCAGCAATTCACTGGAAGGTGTGCAACACGCATTTCGGATACGTTTCTGGTTTGCTCACCATATCTTACAAATAGATGTACGAGCGACGTTGAATTCTATGTACGTCATTCAATTAACTGAATTGTATTTCCCCTCACTTTCCTTGTATTCAGACCGACAAGAATTATCACCGAGCTCTGGTCTGGACCGCGGTTATGACAGCGTTGAGCCACCTTGACCCTGACTTTGGAAGTGTTTTCTCTATTGAAGCAGTAAACGAGCCCATTATGGACGGTGTGTTGTGTCAACATTGTTCTCTTGGATTGATATCTCAACTCTCTGTTTTCACATTTAGCCACTCAGACACCCGGTTACGGAGATTGTATGTCCCTTCCCTGAAAATATCCTCCGAAGTTATCTCACAGAGTTTTGTGTTATTACCGTTATCGCTACATAGTCCAGAAGAACTTCGTGCAGGCCGTGCGGGCTGTAGAGAAACTCCTTGGCATCGAATCCCCGAATAACATATCTAGTGGCGGAATCGGCGCTCTTGTGTCGAACGCACTGAACGTGACTTCATCTCTATTGGGTGGTAGCAGTTATGGTGGAGCTGTGGGGCAGGCGCTCGTCGACGCCGCGCCCATGCTTGCAGAGGTATTGATATCCGGTGTCACATTCCTAGGTACCTTGACTTATCTGGAACCAATTCCGTAGGTTGCTGCAGAAATTGGTATTGGCAACCTTCTTAACGGGGGCGGACATGCGTCGAGAACTCCGCTGATGACTGCGTATGTTTTTTCGTCTTACTGGCTTGAGCACCGAGTACCGGGATGCAATACTAATTTGCAACAGTTTTATGGATATAAATTGGCAGTTCAACAGCCCACCCAACCCCGCCGACGCAATTGACGGACCACAATTCTATGACAATCATCTATATTATTCGTATGTCTTGTCTGGCAAAGTGAGCTAACACGAAATTTCTGACTATTATATAAGATTCGGCGGTGTAGCTGATCCGAATGAGAATGCATATCTCACAAGCATCTGCAGTGCGTCACTATCTGCTAAATCATTCCGTGATGATATCTAACTGTTGGTTATTGGCGTGATTCAGACCTGGAACGAGTACAAGCGGATGCAGCACTGGGAAACTCGCCTCTGGTCTTCGGAGAATGGTCCTTGGCAACGCAGTTCGACCCATCAGATGAATTTTTGACGAAATGGGCAGACGCTCAGAAGCGGGCATATTCGATGGGTGCTGGATGGATTGTACATTGTCCTGCTTTGATACGTTAAATCCATATTATTAACTGGAGTATTTAGTTCTGGAGCTTCAAGATCGAAGAATCGGAGTTGGCTGGGAACACGTCTCGTACTTGGTATGGTATTTCATTACGATGGCACGAAGTGGATAAGCTAAATAAGTGAATAATTTCAGGTCATATTTCGACGGTATTGACAGAGGATATTTAACGAAAGATCCTTCACGGTTGAATGACAATCACGTATGTGATGGTTTCGTCAATTCAACGACGTCAAGGAGGAGCGTTGGGAATCGTCTAGCGAAGGCTCGTTTGCACGCATAAATTAGCCTTAAGCGGATAATGCGGATTTATTTCTTCGTTTCGGGATAATCTGGTAATACTATGATGTAGGAAAGCTTCTCGATGATTTAAGATTCTTGTACAATTGGCTAACTGCAAGAGATGGCGGCTTAGTGGAAGTCAACAAAGCCTAGTTCTACACAAACTATGTACTTCCAATTCCCACCTTTATTTAATACAGAGGAAAGGATGTGCGGGCGTCTTTATTTAGCTTTAGTCAGCTTGCTTGTGGAGGAATTCACAAATTTCGTTCATTGCCTATAGTGAATCCCTTTTGCCTTTGACTTTTCAATTCTTAGTCGATGACTTGATTTCTTCCGCTTGGGTATGTAACGGTCAAGGAGTAGGCCACGGATGACATAACTAAATACTATTACTACGGCACACCAACCCAACTCCAGTACAATAAGCCACAAAACTTGAAGACAAATGGCACACGCAAGACGAAGAGACCCAGTAAGGACAGAGGGGAAAGTACCCAAACAGACACTACATTAAACTATTGCGCATATAACCCAGTATAATCAAATCAGATCAGATCAAAGCAGGCATGACAAGCATGACGGGGTCGTAATGCGGTGATGTAGGAGGTGCCAAGCAACTGTATGCGGAAAGGCAGGAGGACGTGGCACACATGCATACTATTGGGGACATTGCAGCGAGGCAGAACCGTATCGGGTAAAATGCGAGAAAACAAGTAAATATGGAACGGGGTATTGTCAATAACAAGATAAAATGAACGAAAAGAGGGTAGGGCCAGCAGGTCGTCCTCGGCTCCGTGGTCAAAACAAGCGCTCAAGACAAAGTTCCAATCACTAGCGCGGTGCTGACAAGACCTGCAAATACTTGCAGGCCACGGGCCTTGAAGTCAAGCGCAAGCGCACTGGCTCCATTTGACGGTGTGGTCGACGCTGCCGAGCTTGAGCCGCTTGCTTGATTGGAATTCGCGTTCGAAGGCGACGGCGAGCTCTTCTGCAACGTCGTGAGTGCACCCGTAGCAGTGAGCGCACCGGTTGCAGAGGTGGAGATGACAGTCTGCACGGTGGTATTCCCAGGCGCAGAGCTGGCGGTTGAGTTCCCTGGCCCTGCGGTGGTAGAGACGACCGAGTTACCTAAGTACGACGGAGCCGGGGAGGCAGAGCCTGGGTCCTTGAGTGCGCCCGTACCGAATTTGATACCGTCGGCCTCATCGGGTGCATCAACGGTCTTGCCACTTGGGTCAGCTATGGCGAAGCGGCCCGTCCAAGTCAAGTTCTGTGGTGCTTCTGGTGTGGAGAATTGATAGAAGTAAATAGGCGCGTTAATAGTAACCTGGTCGAGGCCAAATTATGAGGATAAATCATGCGTTAGCCTCATTCTAAGCATTAAACTCATGCAAGTAAAGTACTCACCCCAGGACAAGTATAGGAGAATGACGTGTCCTTGGTGCCATCAACGGTGGCAACAGCTGATAATCGTAGATTTAAAAAAAATAGAAAGACATTATCATCTATAAAACTGCCCGTTTTGGTAAGGGAGTGTACATACTCGTCAAGTGGACCATAGCCGAATTGCTGCCCGTCATGAGCTCAATGTTCGTTGTCTTCCATTGGCCAGTAGTATCTACGCCCCAATCGATGTTGCATTTTGCGCCCTCGTTGTAGACATTGCCAGGGGCTGGCTCCTCGGGGTTGACTTGTGCTACTGCAACGAGTGTCGGGACGACCGCCGCAAAGATGATTGACTTGAGCATCACAGTGGAGTTTTTGAACGGGATCGGGGAGAGTTTGTATGTGCGGCAAATGGATCTAGAAGAAAAAAGAATGGCGAAAAGCGAGTCGCAAGCGAAATGAATAAAACGGTCAGCACCAGGCTCAAGCAACAAACGAAACGATAGGACATGCAAGGAGAATACTGACTTTTTATTTGAGCAAGTCTGTAAGGAACGACAATGCACCTTATCACGGCACAAGAAAAAGAGCGACGATGGATGTGGACAGGGGGCAGAGGGCGGTAAACGGGCGCGACAAGTTATAAGGGGCGGGGAGAGAAACTAGACAGAGAGCGGTGAAACAAACCGAAATTCCAGTGTGGGAATTCGTACCTTGATTCGCTTGGCGATTGGCTCCTCCGCACATCTGTGCTGGCATCCTGATTGACCTGGCACATCAAGTTTAAGCGCACAATTCAGTTCGGCAGATAAAAGCGACGCTGAACGGTGGCGTACTGCTACACGCACTTTGAAGGACTTCTATCCGATCGCCTTAAGTTAAGAAGAGCTGGGGAAGCTGATACTCATCCTGGTTGGGCTGACCACGGTCTCACAAGTACCTATTTCACGGCTCGTGGTGAATTTCTCGTCGGTAAGGAAGGCCTTGCATGTGGTAATTTCCCACTGCTGATGCGCCTTAAAGCAATGACGGCATCATTAACCAGCAACCGTTGGGCGTTGCGGCATAGTGAACGACAAGTCAAACGGACGACAAAGCGTGACGTTTATAGTATCACCTCCCTCACACGTACATCCGAACTATTTTTAGGCACTGTGCTTTCTGTGAGGGGACCTGACAAGACAGGTCAAGGACACAAGAATTTATTGGGAGAAGCAAGAAGATCTAATTGATCGGAGTGGAGATCACTTTCTTGGCATGATCGGCGGTTATTCCCAGGGTGTAGATAAATCCGCCATCAATGGAAGCGCTGAGCACAGCATTGATGCAGTCCCACACCTTCGTGCACTTTGAAATTGGCCGAATGACTGGCTGACTGAAGCTACCAATGTTATAACCAGAAGTCAATTAACTACCCGTTCCAAAAGAAGCATGAGCAAATTATTGGGAATCGATGCACAGTTTAAACTTCATGAGACCAATAGGTAAGCTGATTATATCACTGCCGACCTGGCTTCTACAGACAAGCCTGAAGACACTTCTCCATTTCAGACCCTTAGCCTATGTGCATACCTGCTTTCATCATATTGGATCTGTCCATGAGAACATTAGACTTAGAGAGCTCAACCATATTAAACTGACAAAAGGTGGCTTGGGCATGTAACCTACTATTCTACATTACAAAAAAGTCTTAACAGTTGTATTAGATTATAACCTAGTATATTTTTTACTTTTTGTAAATTTTGTAAAAGTAATAATAACTTAGATAGTGGTTTTCACAAGTCAATTATAATTTAGTACAAGTAAAGCAAGAATCCAGAATAGTTATTAAAATTACTAATATTAATTATGATTGTACATATTGTTAAGATATACAAGTGATTATAACATACCTTCTGAAATAATAATGTTAGAATATACTTATCAAATTTTAACAGTATAGTATCCTCTTACAATTTATACCAGTTATTACAAGTATTTGAATAGCTTGTTTTGGCTTTACTTACAAATTTGTATTAAATAATTAATAAAATATAATTATATTTGATTATAGAATACAAAAAGATAGTAAATAATACATTATTTCTACAATCCCAACCCCTGTACCACTAGCAGCCTCTGTCTTGTTCTTTTACAAGTAGAGTTTGTGTTAATAAAGGATTAATGTGTTCTTAAACTGTTTAATATAGTCTTTGTTACTAGGCCTTAATTGTTACTCAGTCTCTACAAGTAGAATCATGTATGTGTGTGAGTTGTAAGGTTGAGAAGATTGTGAAGGGTGAGGCTGTGTCTATAAGACAGGTTTAGGGTAATTAGTAAGTAGTAACAAGTAAGAAAAGATAGACACACTGTAACAGTGTGTAGCAAGTATGAGTAGTGTATACAGATCAAGATACAGAGTGTTAGACAAGCTGATTCAGACTGTAGACAAAATTGTGTCTGTGTACATACACTCTATTGTCTATCTACAGTATCTAATAGAAGGTACAGTAAACTGAGTCATTAATTACAAGGTGTATCTCTGGGACATTCTGGCTTGAAGGGAGAAGGTAATGTACAAGGTGTAGACAGACTCAGCTCAGAAAGAGTGAGTAGTAGCTACTACTTCTGTTATTCAAAATAGTGTTATAGATAGTACTAGGGAATGTAAAGGTACACAGTGTGAGTCTATTAAGAATGTTAAGTATAGAATAGTAGGTAGGGAAGGAGAGTACACACAGGGTCAGAGAGAGGATTGTGCCTTAGGAGTGATCTGATATGGACATTGTTATAAGTATACTTACATGTGCTTGTTAATTGTTACTTACACTATAGAGTAGGAAGAAGAATGTGAATACATAAAATTATTGAAGAAATTGTTTAGTATTAGTTAATAATACAGAAGTATGAATGTAAATGCAAAAAGGAAGAGGAACATGAAAAAAAGGAGGATAATGAAGGAGAGACAGAGTAAGAGGCAGAGTAAGGAGCAGAAGGGATGGAAGGGAGACAAAAAGTTGAGAGGAGAGGGATAAGCAGCTATTGTACAGACTATTATAAAGGGACTAGCTACTTACACTTTATACTGAAGGACAGTATAGCTAGCTGGGTCTTGTTGTTACAGGATCTGAGGCTCAGTACAGGTATTACAACAACAGATTAGAGAGACAAGTGTAGTAATGTTTATTGTCTAGGTTGTTACAGGTAGAGTGCCTGCTAGAGAATGCTTACAAGTAGAGAACTGTGTTAGGAGAACAAAAGCAACATTGTAGTGTTAAGGGCAGAGGGTTGGGAGAGATGGTAGAGGTAGAGTCATTATATACTCTCAATCTTCAGTCCTTGATTATGTAATCACAGATAATTTATATTATAAAGTATCACATTTAAAATATTATTATTATAAATACTCTGTTGACTGATGAGAATAAATGTACACATATTTTGGCTAGTACTTAAGATACTTATAAGTTTATTATAAACAGCTGTTCAGCCAATTATTTACTTTATAAGAGTATAATCACTCTGACTTATATATTACAAGAGTAATGTAATACTTCCATTATAATATAACAAAGGTTGAACTCTTATAAAACACTTGCAAGAGTAATAGAGAACTGTTATAAACTTTATTATTAATTGGCTACTGTTGTATATAAATTTATATACTAATTTTAACATATTATAATAAAAGTTAAGTACTTATGTCTCACATATAATATTGTAGTAATACTGGTAGTAACATTACTTGCTTCA